AGTTTTCTATTGTTTTTTTAATGAACATTTATACAAACAAAAATACCTGTAAAAAGAAAGTGTCAAAGTACGTCTACGTAAGACTAACTCGATCTNAAATTACGTGTTAAATAGCAAAGATTCCATTTTTAATACTAACGTGACGACAATTTTTCCTCTAAGTACTCGAGTTTCTTTTAATCACGAGAAAATTGTTTGAAATTAACAAATATTAAAAATTTACGTTACAAAAGCGTTGTCAATCAATATATCCGCTAATTATCAAATTATGTATAAAGGTTTTCAAAGTTTAATACTTTCGTGATTTTGTAAACAGCATAAGATACGTTACGCAAAACCTAACTGTTTTTTCTTATTTTATCAGTATGTTTAAATCTAGGTATATTTGTATAAGGTGTGAAATAAGTATAAGTTTCAAAAAAACTTTTTTCATTATATGTATTACAATATACCAATTTATATATTCATAACATTAATAACTATATCTATAACATTTCTACATGTATGCAGAACTCTTAGAAGCACCGATTAAGCCAGATGATACTCTGTCTTTGCAAAAAGCGAAACGTATATTTGCGCAGTGCATGAATAAAGGTACGTGTCACTACATTGCCAAAAGTAATTATCACAAATGTTCTCAATTTAATAGTAATAACGATTTAATGAAACAATTATTAAACAAAACAAAACTAAAGAGCTTATGGTCCAAGTTGAAGGTGAACGTAATATTTATTCTCTTATTTCTCTGATTTTCCGGTATAGAATCTGGATACATATACATCATACTTTGTTGTTTGTCATGTGTATGTTCTCTGTTTGTTTTGATTTGGTGTACTTGCCGGTGTACAGTGGGCGGTCTTTGTGATGACTAGTTGAGTTAAATGCGTATATATTAATTTAAATTATCTTTGTGTAATGCATGTTCTTTTCATGTAACGAATTTTTATATATTTACAAATTTATAAATTTTATAATATTTTCATTTTCATATTATTATTACATAAATTTTATATTAGTATTCTATAAACAATGCTGAAGATGATCAACAACAAACAGTGATCTAAACGTGTAGAATACACTGCGTTTTCTGTTTTATGTAAACGTTGATCGTCAAGTTGGACCATAAGTTCTTTGGTTGTTCTCGTTTTATAATTGTGTTTAATTTAAAAATTTAGAATATTTAAAATGTATAAAATAAAAAAAAGCAATTATTATTTCTTAAAAGACAGTGAAACAGTCGGTAAGAGTAACTTGAGCGACATTGTAAATAGCAACGGCGGATGGCCAATAGTTATGTCTCTTAACGAATGGAGTACAAAAAATTTGACGTGGCAAAATATTAGCACTATTTTGCACAGAAATACATTTGACAACGGCATTTTTCCAATAAACGTGGGTATAAATAGAAAGATGACCAACAGTTACGTTATCTATGTACGTATAGTATATTCAAACACACTACATTATAAAGTATATTTAAAATTTTAGTACTAAATCGTGTAAGTTTCAATCGTGAGAGACATTAAAAAAAGTAGCAAAGTTAAGTCGCAACCACACGTGTTAAACACAGTACCATTAGGAAAAAATAACTTAATAAAAATGCTATGTGATTTTAGATTTTAAAACCAAATCTTTCTTTGCCTCGAAGCAAAATGATTCAGTTAAACACCACTCAGACGCTGAAAGACAACTTAATATCCCAAATTGTTAGCGTTGCAAAGAATCTTATAAAAGAAACTAATAGAA